GGAAAACTAACATCAAAGACACATTCACGTTGATCGGAGCTCACGGAACGTGTATCGTTATCGTAGAAATAAATTGTGGGTTCGATCTCGAGGGTAGTTTGCGTATCGGCGGGTACGTGGAATGGATCCTTGTGCCAGACATACGGTTCTGTGACCATGACATGAATGCCCTTTTCGTTGCGTCGTTCCGGCCAGTGTTTGTCCGGTTGCATGAGCACACGCACAAATAGGCCACTCATAGGACCAGCAGAGCCGGTGCGCCAGGGCCATAATGGATCCAGCAGCTGCATGCGTTTGCCTTCGACGGTTTCCAGAGAATTGAAGGCCCAGCACAAGCCGTTCTTGCTGCGTCGTTTCGAGAAGATCTCACAGCAATTGTGAGGGAATTGTCGCCACTTGCAATCGGTCAACATTTCATCACAGGTCCAGGTCATAAAGTCGACGACCAGACTGAAGTTGATATGGCTCAGCTGCTGTGTTGGCTCGTTACGCAGCTGGTCAAAGCTCTTAAAGTGGGCAAAGGACATGCTATCGTAGCTGCTGATAATACGCTCAAACAACTTTAGCTGCGCGGCATCGCTCACATTGGCCATGAACCGGGCTTTAGCCAGGGGTAAACGCTGCCAGTTGAGGCGATTGTGATTGCATATGGTGATGACCGGAAATGCAATGCGGTAAACCGGAAAGCGCGTGCTATCGACCACAGTCTGAAATTTGCCATCGTTGTAGCGCTGCGACAGTATAAGGCACACATAGACAGCGCCCAAAAAGGCACAGACAAACGTGCACAGCCAGATGAAGCGCTCCCAGCTACTGGAACGTGCGGCAAGCAGCTTATCCAGACCATGGATCGTTGTCCGCTTGCCAAAGCGCATGGCCAGCTGCCAGGCAGCCTGACCCAGTTGACGGAGCGATGCATAGCGGCGCGGTAATGTCCGCGACTGATGCAAGTGCAGTGAACGCGCCGGTGGATAATATGCAAGCGTCATGGCTGCCGAGCAACTGAATCAGTTGCAAGCCCATTTTGGTGCTTTTATAGCGCAACTGCGTGCCAGAATGTTTTGGCTAATTAGATACTTAGCAATAGCCGGGGCCCTAACGTGTTTAACGCCTATTAAACTCGTTGTCGACAACTTGCCGCATAGGTCAAGTCGTCAGACACAATCGATGACAAAGCGTTTGCCACCCGCCCAGGGGACTTGAGTTGTACCCTATATCCGTCCATATATATGTCAAGCTAATTGGACAAACTGTTTGTCAAGCCAATTGAATACAATCAATGCCAAATGATTTGCAAACAGCGATAAGAGGGAAATGTATTAATCTCAACAAGTCGAATTTATGCATGCTCTTTTAGAAAAGCATTAAACGAATTTTCTCCATAAGCTTAGCAAAACTAACAAATATTAGTTTTACAGCGTAAAAGAAGTAAATGTTATGATTTGTGGATACAAATCATAGCTTTTTTCTCTGACCATGTATTTTAATCAAAAATCATGGGATTCCAAAAACGTTCCTTGTTGCAAGTTTGATAAAGTTGAGTACACGTCAAGGCTGACAATCCAAACATTATAGCCTTGGTGTTATACCCTTACTCAGGAGGGCATACTGTTCCGAATCCGAGAGGCACGCTATAAAAGGCGTGACCTATTCACTTGGCGAACACAAAATGCATATCCGGCAACTGAGAAAAGTGAAACGGCATCGACAGCTGACCGGAGCATGGCAGCAGTGCCAGAAGTCGAGCTGTGTGACCGCCTGGATGCACTTGCTCAGCCGCTACACCAGTGGTTCGCATATCCATGGATTCTATCAGCTGTGTTGGCCCACGATGCGACGTCGCATGCGGTGAGCGAAATGAGATAGCTCTATTATTGAACCGAAATACTGATCTGTTCCGATAATATGAACAGTTTACTATGGACGCTGGCGCTACTATGTGCCTTTATAGTGCTCATCTTTATCACCTATCTGCTGGCAGAGCGACATCAGCAAAAGCATTTCCAAACTGTTGTCGCGGACTCGCATTGGCCCATTCGGAATATTGCATTTCCGGTCATCATCGTGTGCAACAAGAACCGCTTGAACTGGTCCCGTCTGCCCGAGATAGGCGAGCGCTACAACATCAGCGAGGCCCAACAGCCTCTGCTGGAGCGGGTGCTCACCGCCTATGATGCACTCAGCATTTCAAATTTGGATGTCTTTGAGGCGCTGCAAGATCAGCCTTTGGAAACGCTCAATCATCTAAATTTTACTCAGATTGTGGGCGAGATGGCCTGGCGCTGCGACGAGCTGATCAGCGAATGCCGCTGGCAGACGCAGTCTCGTAATTGCTGTGAACTCTTTCGACAACGACGTCAACAGCAGGGCTTTTGCCTCGCCTTCAACGAGATGGAGCAACGTTCCAGTACAGAAACGGGCAGTGGCACGGGTATTGTTGTTCGCTTGCTGCTAAATGAGGCACTACATGCGCCTGGCAATCGGGAGCCCAAGGGTTTTGTGGTGCGTATAAGTACGTAGTTGCCTTTCTGGTAGTGTGTGTATCTGTGGATCCTTCAATCGAATAGCTCGACGTTGTGGAGCCAGGTGTCTGGTTTGAATTGCCCATAAGCTTGGTGCCGGATTCGGACACTAACGTTGGCATCAGGGCTGTCTATCATTTCTACGATGAGGCCACGTATGGTCTGCCGAGCGTGCAACGTCAGTGCCTGCTGGACTACGAGCAGGAGAGCGATCACTTCCAGACCCTACTGGGCTTCAAGTATATGTTGGAGAACTGTTTGGCCGAATGCCAGCAGCTTTATATGCTGCGCTATTGCAACTGCACATTAGATCTATTCTTTCCGCCCTCCAATCATGTCGGCTGCAAGTTGAAGGATCTGCCCTGCCTGGCGGCCCACAGCAGTCTGCTAAAGAATTTCGAAAATCCAGGCGAGCATTCATATGTGGCCCAGAATGAATCGGGACTTATTTGCGATTGCCTGCACAACTGCAGGTCGCTGACGCTCTTAACTGATGTGCACAAAAGTGCTCGACGTCGAAGGCAAAGGGACAATGCCAGTGCCATGGATTTCTCGCACGGAAGTAACCGTTCAATCTTGCTCAATGTCTACTACAGCAAACATGTTATTCTGGTCTATAAGACAAGCCTAATATATAGCTGGCTGGACTTGATTGGTATGTGGACTTTATTATCAAATTTTTCCACTTGGAAAAAGCTTTAAATATTTTTGGTTGATAATTTCTAAGATTTCTAACATGCGATAATAATACCACAACATTTCTAGACTTCGTCTGAATATCTAGTAAGGTTAGATTAGCTAGGATTAAGACGTGGGACTTTTTGGGATTGTTAGCATAGCAGACATTTTTCTGAGAAAAAATACCAAAATAGTTTTGTAGGACTTTCTAAGTTTGAAGCTTTCGTCAGGGGACCAGAAAAACTAATGATATTATTAATTTGTCCAAGTGCGTTTTAACAAAAGTAAATTTAAAAACTTTAAGTAACTCACCGTCTTAAGCCTGATACGGTGATATTCTTTTACGTTCAAGATATTATTTCTAAAGTAATATCCGAGATTGTTTCAAGATGGGATATGTCTAAGAAGACTGTCAGACATATAGAAGATTGTGTAATTTGTAAGAAACCAATTTCAAGTCGTATCTTTTTAAATTCTTTGCATTTTGCTTTCAGTTTCCTTCGGAGCGATTTGTCAGCTTTGTCTAGGCTGTTCAATAATAAGTCTCCTTGAGCTTTGCTATTTTGGTTTGTTCGATGTACCTCGTTTTTGCTGGTCGCGCTATTCGTTGAGGCGACTTTGTTAAGATATTCAATAAAAAATGCCATTCGACGCTCTTATATATGCAATGCATTTTATTTCTGTTTATTGCATGCCGTTCATGGTCTGGTGCATACTGTAGAGCTCTGGACTTGGCTTGACATATGCAAAGCATTTGCTGGCAAATGTCTTTTGTTCTTTCACTTTGTTCTCTGGGGCAGAATTTGTATTTGCTGTAAGTCCTTATATAATTTAAATAAGGGTTCGAAAATAGTAACTCAAAGCTTTGTAAAAGCTATTATAAGAATATGTATGCTGCAAGCTTAAAGCACATTCAAGCAGTGCAAGGTGAAAGCAGTGCAAGGACGAGCTGAATGAGTTGAAGCAATATAAAATGAAACATCAAAATAATAACATAGAACATGGTAAAACGTAGATCATAGAACATGGGAAAACATAGAACATAGAACATGGGAAAACGTAGAACATAGAACATGGTAAAACATAGAACATAGAACATGAAAAAATGTAGAAAATGGAATATAGAATATGGAGAATATAGAACGTAGAACATAGGCCATGTAACATGGAGCATAGGACATAGCACATGGAATATAGAACATAGGACATAGAAACATTGCACGTTGCTTACCTTCGATTATAGGAAAACATGGAAAATTAATTTATTTGAAGCAGTTCAATTACAATGTTTAGTTCCTCTGCTCACCGCTTGATGGCAAGAGTGAGCAAAGCACCTCGTTTTCTCAAACTGCTAGCGTGCATCTGTAGCCTTTCTACTCTGTTAAGCATAGCCATGGTCAAATTATCACCAAAGCATACCCCAGCTTCTTAGCTCCTATGGTTGACGCTGTGAGTTAATAACCAATCATTCAGTCAATCAGCACAAATCGTTCCGTTTGTTATCTTTTCCCTGGGTCTTAAATTAATCTTCTCTTGACAACACTAAAAATGATACAAGAGTTACTATTAATGTTATCAATGTGTATTATTGTGTGACGTTTAAGCCAAACGATTAGTCAGTAATGAAAAGTTTTCAAACAGTTATTTCGCCATATCTAATCAATAATTAGCCAAAAAGTTAACCCCCAGTTTTCCAAAGATTTATAACATTTATGCTTATCAGCAAGTGATTCCCTGCCACACGAATCAACATCATATATAAGTCCCAACCTCAGCTACAATCTTCACAACAGTCTTTGATCGGTTACCGGACAGTTAAAACAATGTATTCTCCTACGAAACTTATTGCTTGTGCGCTGATTTTTGCGCAGCTGTTGGGCTCAATTCATTGTGGAGTATACGACAATACGGATAACTGGGTCCTTTCTGACAAGACCGCCAATTTCCCAGAAAACGCTGTTCTGGGCGGAATCGATTCATACGGCTATGATAACTACGTGGGGCGCGTCGTTTATTCAAGCTCGATTCTGCCAGCCCGTGTAAGGGCCGAGACTGGATACGCCACTTACAATACCGAAGCAGTAGCTAATCAGGCAGCCTCCTACGAGTTGTTGGTCGCCAATGAGACCGTCAGCTATCACTGGGTGCGCAGTTATGATGGCTTCAGGGAAAAGAATGCCGTTTCTGTGGGCACAAGCGCCTTGAACGAACGCGTTTACGTGTGCCGCGCCAGAACTGATGGCGGCATCTTTATTGGTACCCTGTATCTTGCGCAAAAGGCTTGCATCATCCGCTACGAGAGCTTGCCTCTGAGAGAGATTACTAAATATGAGGTACTAGTGCGAAAAGTTACACCGGCAACGTGGGCACCATTCGACAATCAAAACAATTGATAAGATTGCGAAATTTAATTAATAATTAAATATTAAAATACGAGCATAAATTAAAAAATTGTATTATTCAATAACTAAAATATTTGGGGAAGAGCATTAGAATTAAACTTAATATAACTTTTATACATGGAATTGTAGAATACCTCATTATACCCGATTTGTAACGCGCAGAAGGAGACACCTTCTCTTGTTGCAACTGTGATCGCTGAAAAATTAAGATTTGGTATGATACCTTTTAAAATATCTTGACCAAACTTGGCAGTCACAAGCTTCACTATGCGCCTTAAATTATATAGCTCATATAGGAACAATCGGTCGAAGTTAAAACTATTGTTCAAAAGAACCTTTAAGCCATATGTCTACAAGAATGTTTAATCTTTTAGCTATTCTTATTAGTTACTAGTTACTTTTCAAATATGGCAATAATATAGAGAGTATTGTAAAATTTCCTACATTTCGTAGGATATATATATATATATATATATAGCAAAGGCATTAAGTTAATGCCCTGTACTTTGCAGTAGATTAGCAAAGCCTGCCCAAATATAGATATCCTTACTGTCTTTCAAGTTGTTTTTTAACGGTTTATTGACTGGCCGCGGGCTGTGACTTAACTGCTGCAATGTCGTCCTAACAAGCAGCATCCGGACACAGCTACGTGGGTCCTGGGGGGAATTTTGGTGTTCTACACATAAATACAGACGTACATATGTACGTACATACAGACATACAGACAGCTACAGCTGCTCTGTGGCCGGGTGCCTTGTCGAAATTACGCTCATAAACGTGACTTGACATAATAATCTCTGACTGGCGCTCCGACTGCGGCCTCTGGCTTTGTCTTTTGGCTTCTGCTTTTTCTGCCCACGTATACATACATATACATATTTTTATACATATTTTTATACATTTTTTTTGTCAAAGGTGGCGTTAATTTTTCGCCGCCTTTTGTTGTATTTTCTTTTAATTTTTGCTTTTGTTGCCATTGCGGGGTCAAGTTTTCTTTTTGGTTTCTTGCTGTCTTTTGCGGGTCAGCAGCCGGTTGGCTAATATTGCAAAAATTTCATTAGTTTTACAAACAAGCAAACAAACAAAGCAAGAAACAAATATTTGTGCTTGCATTTTTTAGCAGTTTAGTGGCAGTTGTTGCTGTTCAGTTTGTTATTGTTGCTGTTGTCGCTGTTGGCGAGTGCTACGTTTTTATCTTAAATAAAAAAAAGAAACGCCAGCTAGGGTTATGGGTTGGTTCAGGTGAAGCCAACGGTCCTCCGGGATCTAGCGTAAATAAATAAATGGCAAAGCACAGAGCTAAAACTAATATCAAAGCATCGAATCCGACATACACTTAACGAAGTGTTCCATTTTAATAATTAAATACTGACGTGCATATTAAATAATTTAAAAATATTTCCTTTTAAATTTTCTGATGTATTTTTTTAAATATTTGGTTTTTAAGATTTTTAATGAAAGTTAGCTATAGTATGGTTTAAAAATTAACTAAAAAACATAAAATTAAAAGGAGTATAAAAATAAGTGCTATATTTTAATACTTTAGATAAAATTGAAAAAAAATTATTGCGTTTTTAAAAGTTCATTAGGAATCAATCATTTATTGACTTTAGTCAATTACATATTTTCCCAAACTAAATACAGTATTGTATGTCCAACTTTGTCAACAGTTCATATACCCTGTTTTAAAGCGCAAGAATACAAATGGCGCGTGCGCTTTTTTAAAATTGCTTTGGCTTTTTTAATTGAATACTGTAATGGAGCGGGTGTTAAAGCAAGGCATATATATAGTGTCGTAAAAGCGCGTTAAATTATATTCATACATACGCACAAACTAAAACACACACACACACACACACTCACATACACAAATATTTCATATACACACATTCTCGTATATCATATTTGGTCGGCTTGCTAATTTGGTAGTTTAAAATGCATAGCATCCATCCATGTGTGCCGTATGGTTACTTTATTTTTTTTTTTCTTGTTGACCCATGTGTGTGAAATGCTCTCATGACTTCACAATAACTAAACAAACGACCCGTTTCGGGGTAATTAGTTGTCTCTGTTGTCCTTTGCCGCCACATGCCCCCAAGCTAAAGGAAATGGCGCAGAGCTGCTTGTGTAGGGGTTCTTTAGTGTGGTTTGCTCATTTTGTATACCCCTCACTTCGACTTAAGGAAGTAACAGAGGATATCATGGTATCGTTTAGATAATTAGTATGGACATACATATTGCTTTGGGAACGTCGAAGTAAGATACTAGAAAATCTGAAAAATGATCAATAGTCGTATTTAGTTTATTAAATTTACTTCGACTTGCTTTTAGTGATTCCTGGAAAACCCTTTTACAGACACAAAAAACAGTGTATATTCTAAGTTTTTAAAAATATATGTATTCCTGGAAAAACAAAATATTTGGGACTCAGATGCCTTTCCTTTAACAGTAGCATTAAAATTACAATTTTGTCCAACAACAGAGTATTTTTTAGTCGTGTCGGCTATTTGTCAGCTTTTTTTCTTTTGTTTTTGTGATTTTTTTTATTGCTGTGGGTGAAGGTAAGCATCAGACGAGCTGGGCGTTTTGATTACGTAGCCACGTTTGTCAAACAAGGGTATATGTCAAATAAAACTGGTTGGATAATAGTTTGGTACACAGATATTACAGATTTGTTAATCTTATATATAAAATATATAAAATTAAGAAATACTTGAATCTCAAATATGAAACTTATAATTGAGGTAAATTTTACTCAATTATAAAATTATTCTTACACTATTCTATAAAATGTATATTTAGAAATTGAATATTGTCTTAAATAAATTTTCTATTGATTGATCCGACTTAAACACACAGTTGGCCTTTAAATATTCTGTACACATTTTGTTCAATTGTTGTAGAGCATTGCGAGAGTGTTCAGAGCTGGTCAAGCGACGGCGCCCATTTGCCCCTTATCACCTAGGTCCATAAATTATGACGATGAGGTTACTTTGTAATCAGCAAATTAAGTTTATAGCCGGCAGCATATTATATATATATAAACATGGCAACCCCGAAATGAAAAGTAAACTTGATGCCGACATTTTTTCCCACTTGTTTGTTGTTTCTTTTCTTAGCAAAACGAGCACGAAATGTGGGCAAATTTAAAGCATTTCTTTTTGAACTGACTGCATGGCAAACAATACACAAATCAGTCATTAAATTGTGCTGCCATTTTGCTTTGGATAATCGAAATTTTAATGCCACGCCCGCGATATTTGTTTGCTCTGGGCCAAAATGGGCAACATAACTCAGATGCCCGCCCCTGCCATCGGGTTGTCGGCGCCGTCTAAATTTGCGGCCCGTCGCGGTTTCGCCGGCATTGTTTTTGGCACACACCGAGCAGCGGGTAAAAAATAAAAGGCGAGTGTGAGGGTGCGAGAATTCGGGCTAAAACTGGTGTAGACGGTGTGTGCCCGCAGCCGGTAACCGACACATGCGGTAATTTACCTAATTTTCGGGTGTTCCGCCCACAGCCTCTTTGTTGCTGGCTGTGCCGATAGAGCTGATTGGATTTCCGAGTTTGCTTCTGTGACTCTTGTGCGTAGCACGCGATTTAATCGCATGCGCCTTTCAGTATGTTAACGCATTTTAATATCAAACATTGCCGGCCTCCGCCTGCCAGGCCCCGCTGATTGCCTGCCATGCCTATGTGGCGTGCTCGGCTCTCTGCCACTAATTTCAGGGCATAACGCAAGTTTGCCGAAACTTGACAGCCATTCGCTTTGAGTACGCAAGTTTTCATTATGCATTTTGTATGAGACCTCACAGCAGCAGCTTCGCATATTTGTTAATGATGTTCCTTTGAGGTTTCAACTTGTTTGGGTCACATTAATTTCTTTTCGCAATCCTGCCAGGGAAAATTGCGATTTGTGCTTGTAGATTATTAGGTCTGAAAAGTGTGATGGGATTTTGCAGATAACCCGCTGGCCTATTAACATGTTCGCTTGCATATTTAAAGGTATTTAGCTGCGTTTGATAGTTTAATATTATTTGGTGACCCTTATCAGTTTTTGAGCCTCCTTAATCTTTGCGTTGGCAAAAGTATTGGCAAGAATCGAGCATAATACATTTTGAATCAAGCTTGTCGTGTTTAGAGATAAAAAGTAATTCAAATCGCTTTTATTTTCGTGACAGAATTTATATACCCTTTGTCGTGGTAAAATTTAAAAATGTATATAACATTTTATTAAGTTGTCAAAAATAATTATCCCTAGTTACAATAGGTTAACAATTAAATTACAAAAAATGTTCAGAAGATTACATTTATTTATGCTATTCATATTTCATATTCGCCATTATTTTACCAAGTAAACAATATTTGATATAAAGAACTGGACTCTTTAAACAGTTAGAGCATTTCATTTTCTTCCTAACTTTACCTTATAAATTATACTGATTTCTTACTTCTTTCAATATATGCACGTCAGAAATAGCCTGTTCAATTAATAAACTGAAAAAAAAGGGCAACTCTGGCCAGAGATTCAAACGGCTGTCAAAATGTCACAGCAACTGAATTTCATTTGGGTTTGGGTCAATTCGGGTCTGTTCACCCAATCACATACATACATACATATATATGTATGTATGGTGGGAATATGTGAGCTGCAACATATGATGGCGATATGGGGCGCACCTGCCAAACCCAAATCCGTGCTTGCTGACACGCTTGCCAGAACCGTTTTAATAAGACACGGATTATCGCCTGGCATTATTTCAATCACATACCAAGTGTCGAGTATTTAGCAGACAACAAACACGCGCCGGGCTGTTCTACTCGTTCATGCTACCCCTCGTTCTGTCCCCGTGCCACGTCTTCCAGCCACTGTCAGGCGGTAGAGCTGCTAAAAAGCCAATAAAAATACTTTGTTTGACAAATAAAAGCCGCAGTGAGAGCTTTGGCGATAAAATTTTGTAGATAGCGCCCAGTTGGTTGCAAGGGGGCATCGGGACAGCTGTTGGCTGGCGAATGCCTTCTTTACTGACTGTCACATAAAGCC